ATTCAATTCAGAAACCATTCAGGCATTCCCCACAGGCAGCAACTAGACAAAGAATCCGACCGGGGGCCAGTTGACGGCTCTTGGAGAGGGCGCAAAGGAAGGGTTAAGGGCAACAGCCATTGGGGCCACATATGTGTGGCCGCTGGCTTGGCCAGCCGCATGGGTCAGAGTTAATTTTCTTATTGTATTAGTTTTCTCTCTCTCTCTCTCTGAATTGTTTGGCATATAATGATGCCACTTGATTGAAAATGAACGTGACTGGAAAACAAGTTTTCGGTTCTTTTCTTTTTTTTTTTGTTTTGTATTTCTTTAGATTTGTTTTTCTGTTGCTGCTGATGCTGATGCTGTTGTTTCCTCTTCGCCTTGGAAATACAAAAATAGTGAAATAAATTAGCCAAGAAACTTTGACATTGCCACAAACTTGAGCGACGTGTTTTGCTGTGCTGACAGTCTAAAATCTATCCTGACTTCCAGTTCCAGTTTAAGTTTGTGCCCAGCTGAAAGGCGGAGAGCATAATTGTATTTAATATTATTTAATTAAAGCACGCGTCTCTGGAATTCCAGATGAAGAACGGCGACCGGAGCCTGTGGCTTGCTCATGGACTGTACCACGTATTTTAACAGAATTATGCGCACATTTCCGTTTCCGGTACACACAACACAGTGCACCAAGAGCCGAGCGGAGCGCAAACAAAATGGCGATTCGATTTGCAAACTGCAAGCTGCACAGTGAGGCAGTGTATAGAAAAAAACAAAGTAAAAAAACGGTTGAGCTTAAATCTTTAATATCAGGCTCAGGTATGGGCAATATTTAATATAAGTTTAATGAGAGAATTTGGGCTCAAATCACAAACTCTAGGCTAATAGATCTATAGGAATTCAAATAAGTATAAAGATGGAAGCTGGTTCGACCCTCAGCATTTTGCAGTTTTCCCATTACGTTTCACTGTGCCACTGCTCGAGAAAAATGGCTGTGTATTTATTAAGTTGTGGGTGAGGGCGTGACCGTCCGCCTCGCTGCAGCTGGTTGTTGGCAATTTGGTGCTGCGTTGCCAAGGCAAATAATTCGCAACATCCGACAAGATTGCGGACCGGCTCCGACACAACCAACCCAACCCAACCCAAGCCAACCCCTACGCCACAGCAGCCCTGCCACCCCAAGCTGCTGCTCGCCGAAATCACAGTGCCTCATTTAAAGCTCAGCCATTAAAATGACAAAAGTAATTTGCTTTAAAGCTGTACGCAGTTTAAAATATGCATGACTAAGGGTATTCGCTTGCGAATGCCGCAACACTCATGAGTGCTGCGGCAACTGAGTGACATTTTGTTGCACGCTGACCCACAAATCGCGCTGAGCCCCTTGGGCTATAGTCAGTCGTCCATCAGTCAGGGAACTAATTTCCACTAAAATCCATTCGATGTGGCATAATTTCAGCTGAGTGTCTTTCAAGTGTGCCCAGACTTGCCGCAGCTGCACTTTGTGGGGCATTGGGTTAGGCCACAGCAGGCGGGCACTTTGCCAGTCACACTCTGCTCCTTGTAATATTCTTCATCTACTTTTTGGCAAATTTCGATGGCTGTCAGAAAGTGTCACAAATACTTGAGCTGAACTTTGCGACAGCCGGCGCACACGAGCGCATTCAGCTCAGAGGCTGCTCAAGTGGGCGTCAGGGTTGTCCAAATTTAAGAGCTTTCCATGTTTTACAACCTGACTGCAAGTTAAACAACTAAGTTGCAAAAAGTCTGCACTAAAAGCGTAGATTATGAATGTAAGACCATCAAAAGGAAACAGTGGACATAAATGGAAAAACTGAACTTTACCCTGTGCTTAAAAATGGCTGCGCAAATATAACATGAAGACGTAGACATTTTCATCTACTTTCTTTATAGGAAATGTCTTGATCCTTGTTATATTTTGAATGTTATAGTTCAGACCTGAAATATGCATCTAGATTGGAGTATAAAGGCAAACGTTATTAAAGACATTTTTTGGTATATTATGGGGTTACGGAAAGCAGCCTCCCAGATACAGAGTATCTTTTAGTAGAGTATACTCGATTAAAGAACCCTCGCTTATTTTTGTTTATTTTTACAGGGGTTTGCTGTCCGCCGAATCAGCTATATATCAGGTAGCTTATTTCGGAATTGGGGCGCATAAAAGAACCCCCGGCAATGAATGTTGCCCGTCAGGCGTGAAGAGCACATAACTGTCAGATGGATTTGAGGGTTGAGGGCGAGAATTGGCTGTTGCGCCACCTGGCGGTCGAAGTACAGACACGTACACACACGACAAACTGACAGCTGTCAGGTACTGACAAAACAATTGGAGCGAAATGACCAGCAGGCGGGGGGCGGAGAGAGGAGCAGAGCAAACATAAATGATGATTTGTGCACATGTCACAAGCGCAAAGGTCAAACATAATTTTTCAATCAAAGTCAACAGAAAAGGGGTTGCGCAGCCCCAAGCCTAAATGCTTTTTGCGCAAAATTATGCGCTTTAAGTGAAAAATCGCAGCACTTAGCTGGCATGGAAATTGCGATAATCAAATGTTGTTGCTTTAGTGGTTGTTGGTGTTGCAGTTCGCACCATAATTGCGATAATTGAGTTGTTGCTGTTTTGCGCTATTCATAAATCAACACTGCGCACTTTAAACTGCGATTAAAAAGTATTGGCCAAGTTGTTGGATGGAAAGGCGCAGCAAAGTGGGTGGCTGCATAACAAACGTTGGCTTAGCAACTTTTCCAATTAAAAGCGATTGGCCATAAAAAGCGCAGCAAATGTCAGCGTTAAACTTTGGGCTAAGACCCGAAGATTCAGCGCTCTGAAATTCAATTCAATTCGAGACAAGGAAGAGAAAGAGCGAGAGAGATAGAGCGAGTGAGATAGAGAGAGAGAGAGTTATTTTCGGCTTACTGACTCTTAAATACCTTGGCAGTTGGGCAACATATTTATGTATTTTCTCTGATTCATATAGCAAGCATATAATATGGAATTCTTGATAAGCAATATAGCTTTAATTGGAAGTCCGATTGCCAGCCATATGATATGGGGATTCTAGAGGATAATAATAAGATGAGTTCGGATAAAAGCAGAGGGACACGGTTATAAAGGATATGCCGAGGCTGAATTAGAATGCCCTTTGGCAATATAATTGAATTCCAACTTCTTCTTCTGCTGGGGCTGATAAACTTGAGGCGCATAAAAAGATTATTGCATAGATATGGCACACTCCGCTTGCTTTTTTTAATTAAGTTGAATGACTTGTGACCACGTGGCGTATGCGTAATGTATGCGGCGACAATTGCTGTTAATTAAAAGTTTTGTTTACCTTAGCGCCCCAGAATTCATAGCCAGTTCTTATCAGAGAGAGAGAGAGAGAGAGAGAGAGAGAGAGAGAGAGCGAGAGAGGGCTTATCAAACAATCGTGCCTGCTCGTTAGCCAAATCAGCTGCCTTTGACTTTGCCTTTGCCTTGGCCATGTTATTATCTGTCCAAAATATTGGAGTCGCAGTTGAGCTGTTGATAATTTTCACTTGGCCTTTTTGATTGACAGGTGGGTTGCCAAGGTGAACGGCTCTTGTTTTCAGTCCACTTGTTTAAATTTATTTAATTTATGTATTTCGGCAAAGTGTACGCAGTTTCTTGACCGTGACATCTTTTCAATTGTCGTGTTTCTGGGTCCCTTTTCGAGTGCACTGAACTGGATAAATATTGTGTGTGTGTTCTGTTTGCATTGCCTTCTATTAAAAAACAAAAGTCAACTCGCTTTCAAATGTGCTTTCTACTTGTAGGTTCTTAAGCCATATATATTTCTAGTTAAGAAGTAAGTAGACTGCAACAATCTGAATCGTTTAGGCGCAATTTAATGATTTACGAGCGAGATAATTGAGTGTTGTACTTGGTTTTTTTTTGTTTAAGTGTTCTAAGAGAAGTGGCACTCGAAATGCTTTGAGCTATGCTTGAGCACTGCTGTAAAGATTTGTTCCGACTACAATTGTGTGTTTTAGGCAGCGCTAAAGACTCGCGTGAGAAGGTGAGGTGGATTTTTATAAATTTGTTTGATCAACTTTCCAGCCTGGTAGGAATGCTGTCTTAGAGCTTATTCACAGCACCAAACAGGCCCCTAAAAATCTAGCATTGAGCTGTGTGTTGATCGTCAATCAGATTGATTGACCCAATTTCTGTAAACGATCGCCTATCACTTTCTGTTCCGGCTAAAGATGCTTTCAGCTAATCTGCCACCCGCAACTTTTATTTCGAACCATTCTGAGCCAATTACTAAAACAATCAACACGGCTGCCATAAAATGCCTGATCCCCATAGCCCCTGCCGCGCTCTCTATTTGGCACACATTCACAGGCTGATGCCATAAAAACCGCCTTCCAGTTTGCTTGTTTCGCTTTTGAGGTTAGCGTGTGAATTTAATTTGTGCATAATTGCGGCAACTGCAACTGCAACTCGGACTGCAGCAGTGAGTGTGCTGCTGCGGCTATAAAATGTCAATATCAGCGACTAATCAGCAATAGCAGCAACAGCAACAGCAACAGCGAATGTTGAATGTGTCTGCTTTTTGCCCGCCTTGGCAATTTATGGGGTTTATGGGGAAGTGTCCGTGCGACTGACACAATGACAGCGACCGATTGACAGACTGCCTGACTGCCAAAAGCGGCGGGGGTGCGGACGGGTCGGGATTGTAGTCGCTAAAAAAAATTGTAAACCAATTTACAAATTAAGTTTTTTTGCGTCAACCAAGTGCTGTGACAACATATTTGACGTCTTGCGTGGTTACTGAAGTGCTCACAGATACAGATTGGGCTCTAAAAGAGGCAAAGAGTGGCTACACTCAGAGAAAAACTGTGTGCTAAGCGAGCGTAAAAAGTAACTATTAAATATTCTAGATTGAGTACGGTATAAAATTCGCATTTCTTATTGTTTTTTTTCTCTGATTTTTAAACCTTATTAATTAACAATGTTGAAATCCTTCTCTCTTTTTAGCAGCATTATAATGCACATTCCAATTGATAAGCTGTCCACTCAACGGAAAAGCCCCGAGGAAATGTCTGAGCGAAACGCTTTTCAACAATTGGCAACGGCCAGCTCAATCAAATAAATGCGCCATTGACAAGAAGATTTCTAAAAGACCAACGAAAAATACGAGCTGCAAAGCAACTAAAAGGCATAAAGGACAGTAAAGAATAGAGAAGGCACAAAACTTGCCTCTTCAGCCAATTAATTTTTTTTTTTGTAAACTGTGACGCTGTGCGCGAAAAGCCGTCAAAATTACGACGTATCACCCACCCACGCCCAAAGTCAAACAGAACCCGGCCAATATGGACAGCACGTCCGGGCCGGGTGCGTTTGACGATGAGCCGCCGCCAGAACCCCGGGATGGTTGGCTACTGGTGCGCATCCATGTACCGGAGCTGAATGTCTACAAGTGTCTGCAGTTTCCATCGGAGCGTCTCGTCTGGGATGTCAAGCAGCAGGTGCTCGCCTCACTGCCAAAGGTGAGTTCAGACCCCAGCTCTTAAACTACAGACAACTAGATCAACCCGCATGACGCATCATGCATGACAGCCAAAAAGTCGTGTAAATAAAATGTGTAAAAGATAAGCCCTAATCATACGTGTATGCCATTATATCAGATATTACTCTCCAGATTTCCCCGAGCCAAGTATTTTCTTGAAATTTTCCATATCCATTAAACATCCATATCCATTTCCACATAATGAAATTGATTTATTCGAGAAATGTAGATATTCAAGAATTTGTATATCGAAAAAACATAAGAAAATATATTCATGCAAGCATTTTCCCAACACACACAGACCGGAAAAATTTTCCATTGACAACAGTAGGCAACTCTCTTTTCCAATGGAAAACTTTCATTAGACTGGCGACTAAAACGAATTATTCACTTGAACAATTTTTACTCCAGCAAATCAATTAAAACATGCAGAAAATAAATAAACCGTTTTGACCAATTTGTGTCTTAGATGTAGGTGTGGTGTGGCTGCTCATCATCGTAGGCATAGCGCAGTTCCGAAAAGTAGGAGAAGATTATCACCCAGGCATAGATTAAAACAACTGCGTAAGTTAGTTGAAAACCAATTAGAAGAGAATCAGCCGAACTTGATCCACTCACTTATTGTAATTAGAAAGAGAGCGATGATGACCCAGACCCAGGCATACACTATCATAGCTATTATGTGCACGAAGATATAGAAAGGAGTGAGCACCAGAAATGGCACAAACAACAGTTCGTTATTCTGTGGGAGATAGGATTCCGTAAGATTGGGTTGTGAATGCGGCATGCCCATGCAGAGACATCTTCCATAGGAGTATTATTGCAAGGGTATACACAGTTCGGCAGGTTTTTCTAAATTTTTACTCACATTATGCACTCCAATGCAAACCATTGAGGCGGCTATGATGCCAAAGAACGAGAAGACCATTGTTGTCTTTGGGGCTGCCGGAGGACCAAAAATCTCACGCTGATATTCGTTGGGGAAGATGCACCGCATCATGAAAGCGCTGCCAAGGCATAGGTAAACGAACCAGGTCAAGAATATGCAGCCCAACAATAATGTGCCCGTGCGCAGCGAGAAGCAGAAGCAGCATTTGTTCAAAATCTTTATAAAGTACTTGCAGTGACAAGCCATCTTGGTTAGTAAGTATCTATAAGAAACCAGCAAAAAAAAACCGATATGCTATGATCCTCCCGGTCTTCACGTAATTTGGAACTTTGAAATATTTGAAATGAAAAATCAAGTTTTATTTTTTTTGAAGTTAAGCTCTGTGGAGAGTGCACAGCTTTTTGTAAATGATAGCTCTCAAATTTGGTATACAATAACATTTTACAGAAGGTCAACTCGATTGCTCAAGCCAAACATAAAACGAATAACTAAAATATATATGCAAATATATATATATATAAGTACTAAAAGAAATTATCTGGAGTCCTTCGTTGCAAGTTGCACCAAAAATAGTTGGGAAATTCGTTTCGACTATGCATCCTTCTTTTGATATATTTCACTTTTTAATTATTGAAAATTCTCTTTTCTTTGTATGAATATTACAAAATGTTACTCAAACACTAAAATAGAAAATTTCTGTTGAATTTGGCAGCATTTTTATTAAGGTTGTCTTTATACAAGCTTTAACCATTGGAGGACGAGTTTTCTGAAACCCCGTCGTGGTGCACATTTCCAGACGGAAACTGAAAAGTCAGTAAGTCTGTCACAAAACACACTCTTAAATATATATATATATATATATATATATATATATATATCGATTTTTATACGACAGTAAGATGGAAAACAAAAATGATAAAACACGTACGCAATTTATGACAGTTGAATTTAATTTTCTGCATTATGACGAGAGTTCCCTGAAGTGGGAATGCACAAACATCAGTGAGAGGGCTATACTAACTGATAAAGGAGTAAATGAAATGAGAGTAAAATATAAAATAAGAAGATAGAATAGATAATTCCTTTAGCAGACTTACGTAGAATAATTACTTGCATGCTTAGACCCTCAATTGAGTAATGGTACAATACTATATCTAAAATGAACATCACGAGGTATAATACGAATATGATCAGGAAGCTTATCATCCAGACTATTAAGAGACATCGTTTTTCCTGCCAATAGTAGTCAGATAATGTAAAAGATATTGCTTGAATTCTCTGAAGACATGTATGTAGATGTAGAGTAAGTTACCTTAAAGGCCCCATAGATCAACATTAATGAGGAAATAATACCGGTTGTCAAAATGATCGACTGCAAAAAATTCCACTCGTTGGTTTTAGTATCTGTAAAGGTCAGTGTAGAAAACGTATGTTGGATGGATAAAGGCATATATATATATATATAGACTTACAGATAAAAACACACTGCTCGCCATGGAAGGCCATCTCGGCAAAGAAGAGACAGGTAAATACAATGCCGATAATCAGGCTGCCATAACGCAGGGGAAAACAGCAGCAGCATCGCCGAAAGAGCATGATCAAGTTTATGCTGAGAGAAGAGTGTTAAGACTTATACGTATTTAAGTGTACCAAAAATTTTGACAGTGAATGCGAAGCAGGGTTGAGTGAAATGTGAAATATGAAATTGTAAAAATGGAACATCAATCGGCCAATAGATCTTTAAAAAAGAATAAAACAACCAGCCAAAAATAAGTGTATATAGCTGCAAATTAAAGGAAATTCGATTACAAGTAATTAAGGACTTGATTAAGATCAAGGCTGCAAACCGGATCTGAACCGTCCGTGCTCGAACGGGAATTTTTTAATCTAGTTTTACTCTCAGCCAAAGTTCGAACACTTTGGTTTGCAGCCCTGTCTTAAATATCCTCTACTCACTCAAGGCTGTGAATGTTATAAGAATCAAATATAAAGGCCCACCGTAGCGAATAATCAAAATGAATGTTATGCACTCACCAACGATGTGTATGCAAACGAATAGTAGCCAGGGCAGGGCGAAAGAACGGAATTTCCTACAGATACAGATACAGATACAGTTGTAGATACAGATACACTTGCTTACCAATTGTGCGCCAAAGGCTAACAAGAGAGCGCTTATTAGCATAACTGATGATGCAATGAGCACATAAAGTTGCGTATCCTGGAAAAGATATTCGTTGGCCAGCTCGGCTAAAGAAATAGACAGTCGAGGATGTGCTATGTGCTTTGTGATATGGGCGTTGCCAACGCTTACCTGGCAGCTTGTTAGCCAGAAGGAGCGCCATAGTCACCATAGACAAGGCATACATTAGCGCCGTTATCACGGCTATTAAAGTAGTGCCCAATCTTAAGCTTAAGCAGTAGCAGCAGCTTCTTAGCTTCATGCTTAGCTTTCACGCTGCTTTTGGAGACGAGCTATTCAGAAAGTCGACAAATTTTAGATAGAATACGAATCTGTGTTTGCTGAGTGGAAACAAAAACATGCACATGTAATCAATATAAATGGAAGAGTTTGTCTTAACTGATTGAATGGAAGACACACTGAGCGAAGAGTTTGGGTGTCGAACCCCCAAAAACAATGAAAGCAATTATCATTCCAATTAAATTCTAATCTTTGATTATTATAATATCACATACTGTCAGTTGGACAGTAGGAACGATCTGTCGTTATAGTCGTATCTGAGACGAAAAATCTGCCATATATACCAATAATATATGTTTATCCCGAATCTGACGCTCCATTTGGAAAGTCTTTGCCCAAATGGAATTTCGAGACAATTAATTAGATTTTATGTAGTTCAACTTTCTTTTGAAATATTGCGCTGCATGTAACGCTCGCAGCTGCCACGTGCCCCAGCAGCCGCCACGCCCATGGCCGTGGCCCAAGCTGCCAGCGAGCCAGCAAATTTCAATTGAAGTTCAATGCAAAACCAATTTCCGACAGCCAGAAGGCAGCAAGTCGTGACGATCGACGATCGAGCCGCGCAGATATTGACAATTGAATGACAGTCTGTCTAAAAAATAAAATAGAGAAAAACAAAGAAAATCTGCGCAAAAACCGAAAACTCGTTTTTATTTTTGGTTGGCTCCAAAAAGGGCCCAAAAACTGGCTGGCCTAAAAGTGGGCAGCCCAACTTAGTTTCAGTTTCAGCTTGAGTCTTGGGCCTCCGATTTGCAATTAACTTGACACAATGGCCAATCGTTGGCAGACATTGTACTATTTAATAACAATTTGTTAAACAAATTGTGGCCAAAACATTGTCCGCTTGCCTGACGTGGGTAGCGCTCCGCACCCATTTCAATATCAACACAACAGACACACACATATGTATGCAGCCAAAATGCTGGCCGGACAAACGACCTCCAGCTAATTGCACGGACCGGGTTCACTCAATAAAACAACAGCAACAAGCAACAACAAGTGACAGACGGGCGTTGCATTTGTTTGTCCGCAACTGAGGGGCAGAGGTTGGGGAGGGTGATTTTTTTTTCGGGTGTCTCTGTCAAGTGTATTTGGAACCATTGCAGAGTCGGTTCGCTGGGAACCAAGCGCTAGTTTTGCATAACGGCATGTGGGTGTCCAGCGCCAATCACATATGAGAAACGTGAGTGTTGTGAGTGTCGTGAGTGTCGTGTGAGTGCGACTCATGCAGATCAAGTCATGACATGGCCCGAAACTGTAAATTGATTGAGCAAAGCGTGAGATTGGGTTCTACTTGCGACAAAGAAGAGCCACAAAGTCTGGTAGCATTAATGAATCAATAAGTATATATGTATTTCGTTTGACTTGAATGGGAATGGACAAAAAGCTGGGCTCGAACACCCAAAGCAGGCGCTTGCCGTGTGCTTCTTACAATTTAAATTATGGAATTTGATCTAGAAGCATGGGTTGATTGATTCTAATCTGTACTTCCGCCAGAACGCAGTTGTTCTATATATTTATACCCGTTACCTGAGTATATATCTTATCGCCTTTGCTGGCCGAAACACTTACAAGTGCTATAAAATACAATTCATAATGCTCACACGCAATTCGCATAGGTATTTATGAAGTGCTATCAACGCACAAATACTTGCAACTCACCAGCTGCCCTGCCAGCTCATCCAGATGCCTCGCTCATGAGTCCATTTGTTTGGTTAACAGCTTTACGAGTAGCTATTTTAAAATCCAAGACAAATATCTGTTGAGCGTGCATTATTTTCACATTGTATATGCTTGACGTGATTAGAGTACACTGAAAGAAAAGCTCTGTTTTAAATTCTAATTTGTCCATCTATTATATTATATATCCTGAATATTCTGAAATTAAGTGAGACTTTAAAATGAAACGATGATGAAAGTAAATGTAAGTAGTATCTAGGATTTTTCTCCGAGTGTAGCACTTGCCTTGCCTTATCGGGCATTGTGTTATCGGCCACTTGATTCGCAGACTATCTTCGCTTTATCGCCAGCGTCTATACGCAATCGTCGTAAATTTGATGAGTAGCCCACAAATTGCCTTTGTCAGCAGCGAGAGTAGCGCACTTCAATTAGAGTTCACATCATCAATCAGTCGAACTGGCAGTCAATCAGTCAATCAATGCTCCAGTTGTAACTGCATGACTGAGCACTGCGCATGGCCCACACATGCGTTTGGTTCTTAGTCAGGTTTTGGTCTTGGTCTTGATTTCCGCCTGCTAATCAATTTAATCGCTATATGGGGGTTTATTTTTTCTCGTTTCTTTCTGCTTTTATTTTTAGGTGGGCGGGCCACATAGAGCTTACCGGTTCGCTCTAAGTTGTTTTGCGTGTAATGCGCAGCTTTAATTGATTCCAGCCATCTGTTATGGCTTGAGCTTCGATTTGGCATCAGGTACAGGTACACTCACTCTTAGCAAGTTCGCTAATGTATACAAGTAATCGAATGACTAGACGAAACTTGAATGCCCTAACCCAACTATCACTTGATTAATCTAAGCAAAGAAAATATTATTGGTAAACCTTTAAGTCAATTACAAATATAGCTCACTTTAAGGATTTGCTGTAATAATGTCTCATAATAAATTCAAAGTAAACTAAGAGTATTCAAAATGCTTGCCACTTGCCTTAACGCTGCCCCTAGAGAGCAAGAGCGAGAGGAAGAGGGAACGAACGTGTGTCGCTGGGAATTGATTGGCTTTTAAGCTTTTGAGCTCAATTGAAAAAGAAGCGCTGCCAGACTTTCTGTGGCAAAGCAAGTGCGAGGGGCTGACAGAGTGGGTCAGACTCCTTTACCAGAGCGGGCTGCAACGGCAAGGATGACTGCTATTGGCCAAGTTTGAATAGCATTGCAGAAGGCATTTTGGCTTTGATAAAAAGTTTGTAATATAAGCAGTTCGCCGAATCGGAATACCATATCCACAGTTGCCTTTGGAATTAAGACAGCTGACTATATGTGTGCAAGGGTATCTACAGTTCGGCAACACGAATTTAACTTGCTTCCTTGTTGTCCTTTTGAAATCAGCGACTCAGTCAGCAGTTTATTAGACATTTCTTTGCTGAAACTGGCTATTTAATGGTTAAACTTAAATCAATTTAAATGTTTGTCTTTTGGAATTGGCCCATAAATCAGAGTCTGTAATTTGGCCAGCCCATTATAAGGACATAATTTATGGATACCCTAGAAATAGTTTAAGAGGAAGCTGTCACAGATGTGTAATTAAGCCAAAGCTAATGCTTTGGCTAATGCTCGAGCTTATGTGAAAACCACGTTGTCAGCCAGCAGCCTGTCTATTAGAATGTGGAATATAGACATTTTGCATGTACCCAAATCCAGCTACAATCTCAATCTCAATACCAATCCCAGTCCCAGTGCCCATCCCATTACCAAAATGTAAAGACAAGTCGCAGACCCTAGACACTCGTTAGATTTAATGACAGCGCATAGTTTGCGCACGCACGACATCATTTCTGGCCCAGAGCTTAAGCCGGAGCCTGTGGCAAGTACCACAGAGACCCCGTTTGAGATACTTACGAGTGTGTGTTTGTGGGTGTGTGTACCGCTCTCTATTGAACCGTTAATTTGTATGTCAACTTAACTTGGCACTTGCCACAAGCGGACGCCTCGTTCTTTAGCATTTCAAATACCCTTGCCGAGGGTATTTCAATTTTGACACGAAATGTGCGCATCGTAGAACAAAATATCATCAGCATGGCCCTACTACTATACAATATCTGCTCTTTACATATTAAATAGATATGATAATCATTCATCTTCTAAGACATCTTCTTTTGCATCCGTAAGGGTATTTAATAGTTGCCATACCGAACAGTTAATTTGCCTCTTTCTATCTCCTATTTCCAAGAGCATTTCGAGTCCTGCGACGTGCCTGATTTTTAGTATGGCATAGTTCTGTGGCATGCTAACTCCTCACCCTCTTCTATTCAATTGCGCAGCTTTTGTACTGAACATTCACTTACAACGCCTTGGCACAATAAAGATGGCACTGATAAGGCGCCAACGGAACCGCACTGAACTACTTCGATTGGGGTGCGGCTTGTGGCAACTCTTTGGTTCCACCAGCTGCTGCTGTTTCTTTCTCCAGTTTTGGAGAATTTTTTGCTCGGCTAGATAAGAGAACGTGGGGATTGCGCTTGTCAGGCAAATGAAGTGATAAAGTTTTATAGAGACGCGAAGCAGGCCCGTAAAACATAGTTTCCCGATTGCCATTAGATAGGAAGATAGGAAGAGCTGTGATTTATAAACGGAATGCAGTACATGCTCATAAATTGCTTTGATATATGCCCGACTAAAAAACCTCGCCATGTTTATAGCGCAATAAATGCCAAATTTATCATTTATTTATTTTGTGATAATTGCTCTAAATTTAGTTTTTATTTTGGGCACTCTTTTAAGTTTAGCTTTAATTTATTTTGTTTTTAATTTATTTAAGCATATTTGCATATTTGCGTATTTCGACTTACGATCAGATTAAAAAAGTTATTTATTTTATGTTCAAATCCTTTGAAATGCGCGCTTTTCACAGCATGTTCTGAAAATGTAATTTGCATACTGAAAATAAAATGTGTCCCACCCACCCACATGAAACTCATAAAGCAGCCCAATAAAAGCATGTTCATGTTGTAAAGACATTTGCATTGCCAGCCTCGGCGTATGCGTGATATTTTGAATATTGTTTATCTGTATGCTAAACATGTACATGTCACAGGATTTTCGTACATAATTCCATCCAAAAATTATTAAGAACATGACTTTATAGCATGACAGCAACAGAACAACAACAAGACAATTTTTTGCTGCTTTTTATTAATAATTAAAATGTTTTGTTTTCACGCACATTTTTTTGCTGATGCTGCTGCTGCTCGCACTTCTCGTTTAATTAAATGCAAAAACAAACAATGTTCTGCGTTCGGATAACGAACCGCGTGCCAAACACATTTAACTTCTTATAAATGCGTTATTAATTTAATAA